ATCAGTCCTGGGTGTTCATTGGAAGGACTGATGTTGAAGCTGAAACTCCAATTTTTTGGCCACCTGATGTGAAAAGCTGACTCATTTGAAAAGACCCTGATGCTGGGAAAGATTGAAGGCAGGAGGAGAAGTGGATGACAGAGGATGAGATGGTTGGATAGCATCACTGACTCAATGCACATGAGTTTGAGCAGGTTCTGGGAGATGGTGAAGGACAGGGAAGCCTCGCATGCTGCAGTCTATGGGCTCACAAAGAATCGGACATGACTGAGCGACTGAACAACAATGTATTTAGCAAGGCCTTTAGCTTCCCTTGAATAGCAGCTACTAATTGGGCTGTTCTATTTGTTATTCGGGTTCTCAACATTCTTTCCACCTGGTTCCAGTAATGGTCTCCAGTTTTCCTTCAGGGTCTAGCCCTTCTTATTTCTCATCACATATGCCTCAGAGCAGGCTCCATGCCCTCCAGATTAGGCACTGAGTGTGTGACCCAGCCTTGAGTCACTTAACATAGCAAACTACCTTGGTCACAGTGACTAACACAGAAATGGGCTTGGGACATGTATTTTCCAGGAATCCTGCCACAGAGGCTGGAGTTCGTCCCATGCTAGGCTGGAGATGGAGACGATGGAAAGTCTGGAGCTGTGGCCATCATCCTGTTGACACGAAGTTGAGCTTGTTGGGAATGGCACCCATCCAAAAGAAGAGAAGCTGATAGAGATAGATAGGTGATAGACAAATAATGGATAGACAGATAAATGTGTGTGCTTAATCACTCAGTTCTGTGTCCAACTCATGCAGCCCTATGGACTGGAGTCCACCAGGCTCCTCTGTCCATGGGATTTTCCCAGGCAAGAATCCTGGAGACGGTTGCCATTTCCTCCTCCAGGGGATCTTCCCAACCCAGGGATCGAACCCACATCTTCTGTGTCTCCTGAATTGCAGGTGGATTGTTTATCCTCTGAGCCATCAGGGAAGCCCAGATAGACAGGCAGATAGATAGAAAGATAGATACAAATAGAAAGACAGATAGATAGACAGATAGATGGGATAAACCAGATACCAATGATCACTTGAGCCCCTATACCCTGCCATACCTGAAACCAGACCAACTCTAGGTTTTTCCCTTAGGTGAGCTGATGGATTCCTTTTGTTCAAACTGTTTCGAGTTGGAGCTAAGTCTTCTCTAGTTTAGACTGTGACTTCCAGACAACAAGGAACCAGAGAGTCCTGAGAAAGCAAAGGCTAGACAGAGTATCGGGACTTGAAGAGTCTTTTAGTTGAACCAAAGACTACTTACTGGCCACCACAGCATGTTCCCTCCAGCTAGAAAGTAGCCTTTGACTGTGTCTCTTTTGGTCTTCACTGTGGACTGAAAGACAGAAGAGCATTGGGTAAAGGAAATGCTAGTGATCAGAGGCGCCCCCAGATAGCCTAGTCCCTGATTATACCTGGGAGTCCAGCAGGCCAGATTCAGACATCAAACATACTTGGGGGTTTGTCTGGTTTGGGGTTTTGTTTGTTTTTGTAAGAGTCCCTGAGCAATACTTCCCATGGCCACTATTTGCATGAAATATCTTACTTCACTATTTGTTGCACCATGCAGCTTGTGGGATTTAAGTTCCCCAACGAGGGATGGGGAACACTGCCCTCGGCAGTGAAAGAGTGGAGTGCTAACCACTGGACAACCAGGGAAGTCCCTCAACTCTAATTTTTTTTTTTAAAAAAGTGAGGGACTTCCATGGTGGTTCAGAGGCTAAGACTTTTCTTCTACTTCCCTGGTTAGGGAACTAAGATCCCACATGCTCTGTGGTGAGGCCCCAAAATAAAAATTTCGAATAAAAAAAAAAGCCTCTGAGGTCCTTTAAAAAAAACAGTATAGGTGATGTATGATATTATATGTTATAGGTGATTTACGATTTTCAAATATTATACTCCACTTATAGTTATAAAATATTGGCTATATCCTCTGTATTATGCAATATATTCTTGAAACTTATTTTATGCCTAATAGTTTGTACCTCTTAATGCCCTACTCCTGTATTTCTCCTCCCCTCTCCCCACTGATAACCACTAGTTTCTTCTATATATCTGTGGTTCTACTTTTTTGTTCTGTTTTCTCCCTTGTTTTTTTTTTTGATGCAGATCATTTTTAAAATTCTTTATTGAATTTGTTACAATATTGCTTCTGTTTTATGTTATGTCTTTTGTATTTTTTTCTGTTTTTTTGATCATGAGGCATGTGGAATCTTAGCTCCCTGACCAAGGATGGAACCCACACCCTGCCAGGGAAGTCCTTCTACTTCTTTTTAGTTATATTCACTAGTGGTTGTACTTTTTAGATCAAATATGTTTTGTGTGACCCATGGCTTGTTTTTCAGGAGTTATTTACTTGTCTGTTTCTGGCTGTGTGGAGTTTTGGCTGCAGCACCCAGCTTTCTCTCTGGGTGTGGCCCATGGCCTCAGCAGTTGTAGCTGCACAGACGTCGTCCCTGCACAGCAGGTGGGATCTTAGTTCCCCTACCAGCGATCGAACCTGTGTCCCCTGCATTCGAAGGTGGATTCTTAACCACTGGTCCACCAGGGAAGTCCCTGTTAGATGTATGGTCTGTAAGATTTACATTTGAATCCCATAGAGGAAACAAACTCTTCAGGTCAATACCCCCTACAACCCCCTGCCTCACACATGTATAATAACCTACTAGGTCCCCCAGGCACCTGAGTTTTAGACCATGGTTTGTCTGTGACATCCCACAATGGAAGTCATTTATTGAGTATCAGTACCATGTGCCAGGGGGCTGCCTTGCTGACTCAGACAGTAAAGAATTTGCCTGCAATGCAGGAGACCTGGGTTCAATCCCTTGGGTCAGGAAGATCCTCTGAAGTGGCAACTCACTCCAGTATTCTTGCCTGGAGAATTCCATGGACAAAGGAGCCTGGAAGGCTACAGTCCACAGGATCTCAAGGAGTTGGACATGGCTGAGTGATTTTCACTCACTCACTCACCATGTGCCAGGCTCTGCAGTAAGCATTTTGAAGCATCATCTCATTTTAATTCTCACCAACTCCTGTGAGAGATTCCTTGGGTGTCTCAGATGATAAAGAATCTGCCTGCAATGCAGGAGACCCAGGTTCCATCTCTGGATTAGGAAGATCCTCTGGAAGAGGGAATGGCAACCCACTCCAGTATTCTTGCCTGGAGAATTTCATGGACAGAGGAGCCTAGTGGTCTATAGTCCATGGGGTCACAAAGAGTTGGACTGAGTGACTTTCACTTTCAATTTCTATGAGGCTGATATCATCAAGCCAATCTAATACATGAACAAATCAAGGCTCAGAAGCAGTCACTTATCTAGTGCCATATTTCTACAGAAAGGAAGAGTGAGAACTCAAACCCAGGTCAGCTTGATTTCAGAGCTCGTTAGGAGTGAGCTTCTTGGCCCTAAAGGTACTTTAACAGAGACATTTAAACCACTAAGTGATCTTGGATAAGTTGTAACTTCTCCCAGCTCTGGGTGCAGATATTGGTAAGAGGAGTCTTACTGGATGGGAGATGACATGAAATGATATCTTTTCATCCCTGCAAAAGATCTTACTATAGCAAACAGACACTATGGCTTATTCCTGCTGAGCCCTGACATAAGAAGTATTTTCCAAGAGTAAAGAACTCCTTGAGCTAAAAGGGGTCATCTAAATCCAAGGCTTCCCAAACCAGTACTACATCAGAGTCTCCTGATTCTCTTGTGAAAATACAGATTCCCAGCAACTCTAACCCTTATTCTAACTCTACCCATATCCCTAATCCTGATACCAATCCTGTCTCACTTGAAAACCTTGACTCTTAGGACTTCCCTGGTGGTCCAGAGGTTAGGACTCCACACTTTGACTGCACGGGGCATGGGTGTGATCCCTGGTTGGGGACCTAAGAACCCACAAGCCATGCCGTGTGGCCAAAAATAAAAATAAAAAAGAACAAAGTTCTATGTACTGTAAGACCTTGAGCCAGTCTCTCCCTCTGACCTGACTTACCCATAGTCCGACAGCCAGGACAAAGAGGAAATACAGAATCAGCACTGCGATGTCCCCTGCTTCCAGCGTCCTCCGGGGAAATGCCTCCAGGGGATCTGGCTGTGTGGGTGGAGGGCTGCTGGCGCTGCTCTCCATGGTCCTGAATGAATTCTTGCAACCCTGTGGAAGTGCAAATGTGCGTCACATACCAGGACCCAGTGCCACGTTTCTCACCCTTTCCATAACTGCCTCCTTGGGCAACCAAGCAGGAAGACACATGTGGAAGGATGTGTGATGGAGACAGACCTCAGGAAGTCAAATCCATTCATTCTCTCTCTTATTTAGCAAATATTTACAAGGAAGCCACATCCAATCTACAGTTAATGTTCACCAACCCCACCACTCACTTGGCAAAATACAAAGAAAAATAAACAGCTTAAGTAGCATAGATGTCTCACCACCCTCTTCCACATATCCAGGAGTGAGAGAAAAACAGGACACCTGAGTCAGTCTGTTTCCCTTGTATCTCGTAGCCGGGTGAAAGTCAAGCCAGCAATTTTGTCTAAGGCTCAGCCAGTCGAAACAATCTTGTTTCACTGCTGGATATGTCCATAAAATGTGTATATTTATTTAATTTTAAATTTGCATTTGTTTTTTATTTTGGCTGCACTGGGTCTTCCTTGTTGCGAGTGAGCTTTCTCTCAACGCAGTGCACGGGTTTTTCATTGTGGTGGCTTCTCTTGTTGCAAAGCACCAGCTCTAGAGTTTGCGAGCTTCAGTATTTCTGGCTCACAGGCTCTAGAGCACAGGCTCGGTAGCTGTGGCCCACAGGTTGAGTTGCCCCGTGGCGGGTGGAATCTTCAGGGACCAGGAATGGAGCCTGTGTCCATGTGTTGGTAGGTGGATTCTCAGCCACTGGACCACCAGGGAAGTTCAAATGTGTTTATTTAACAAGCATTTATATAGCACCTTCTATATGACAGGCCTCATCCTAAGAGTTTATAACCTTGCAAAGTGGGCAGCCAAGTAATGGGGTAACTCAGCTCATAGATAATAACACAACATGATGTTTCATACAAGTGGGTGTGTATAATGACAGACGTATTAAGGATTCAAGCCTAAGAGTCATCCAGTTGGGTCCACCCCTTACTGACTCTTAGAGCTTGGACAAATTCCCTAACTACTCTTAACTCTTCGCATTCCCATCAGAAAATGGGACAATAAGAGGTTACATTTCATAGATCATCATGATCTAGTACCTGTGAAGTGTGGAAAACAATGCCACACACAGCTGTGCTCAGTAAATTGTAGCTGCTATTATCTCTATTACTAATTTTCTACAATAGGCAGTGAGGCAAAGACCACCTGATTTTACAAGGAGGAAAACGGATGGCAGTACATGCACTGGGTTTTGAAGAACGCGTAGGCGGTCCTACATGCCATGAGCAGGGATGGGGGTACATTCCAGGCTAAGGCAACAGTATCCACAGACATTAAGATATGAATAAGTGTCTTATGCTTAAGGAACCATCAGATTCTTCCCTAAGGATTAAGATTGGGAGCAAAGAAGTGAGCAGTGAGGCTCATTATCTATGAAGGCATTATACCAATTCTTTAATATCATTCAAAGGATTCTGTAAGGTCAGTAGTTTTCTTTCTACAGAAAGCAGATATCATCATCTTCAAATATTATCCCGTTTCTATAACAAATATTTTATAATACACTGTCTACTGAATACTGAAACGAAACTCATAGATAATGTTACCTACCTACACACATTTTTTAAAAATCAATATAAAGCTCTATTATAAAAGAGAAACAAAAGAACAGCAATTTATGGTTAAAATTATGGGTAATTCAACATATAATTGCTCCATCTGACTCAAAAGGGGAGTCAGATCATTTTACCTATTATACTGAGTAAGCTTTGAATTTAAGAGAAATAAGAAAACCAGAATCGATTTGATTCCAGAAGCACAGAATAAAGCGTGACTCTACAGAGGAAAACCAGAATGTTTGAATCTATAAAAAAAAAAAGAAAAGAATAATAAAAAGCCGTGCCCTCCTCCAGGGGATCTTCCCAACCCAGGGATCAAACCCAAGTATCCTGCATTATGGGCAGATTCTTTACTGTCTGATCCACCAGAGAAGCCCAAGAATACCAGGGTAGGTAGCCTATCGCTTCTCCAGGGGATCTTCCAGATCCAAGAATCAAACCAGGGTCTCCTGCATTGCAAGTGGATTCTTTACCAGCTGCGCCACCAAAGAAGCCCCAGAACTGATAGAACCTGGAGCTTAACTGAGAGAGGGGAAGAACTGGGGAACCATTTCCTGCTTCTGACCAGAGCTGCCCAGAGGTGGAGTAGCCTGGTCACCTGGGTGAATATTCCTGGTTCTTAAACCAGGGCTTTTCATATGCAACACTATCGGCATTTTGGATCTTGCAGTTCCTTGTTACGGGGGGCTGTCTGGTGCATTGTAGATGTTTAGCAGCATCCCTGGAAGCCACCCACTCGAGGCCAGCAGCTCCTCTCCACAGGTGCGGCAGCCACAAAGGTCCCCTGTGTTGAGAAGCACTGGAGGAGACTAGAGACACTCATTTAGAGAAGATGCCTCAGGGGGGCGCTCAATAACCTTTAACATCCCTTCCCACACGTCACTCCCTGGGCCTGGGCCTTGCTCTTCTGTTGAGAGGATGCTCACAGCTTCTCAGACCTGTGAGAAGATCCAAACAACCACTGATCCATAACACTGATCCAAAGATGGACGGACAAGAGAAGGGGGGAAAGGAAGGAAGATGGACAGCCAGTATCAGGCAAACCCAACTCACTTCCCCAGCTTGAAGGCAGGAGTATGTAGCAAAAGCCCGAAGTCCATCCCAGGTCACCCCTCAGCCCTCCCCGCCTCAGTCAAGCTTAGGTTTTATGATAATTGTCATCAGTCCAATGGGATGGTAATAACCTAACTGAACCAGAGAACTTGCAAGGAGAAAGTGGGGTGGGAAGACTGCTAGAGAGCTCCCTAGGGTGGAAGTGGAGATTCATAAAGAAGGCTCTAACCAAGAGGCAGATTTGGAGGCTTGAAGACAAGAGGGCTAGATGATCTTTAAGGTCTGACTCAAGGGCGAAGCCCTTATTGGTTAAGCAGTGTTCTTACTGCCACTCCACAGACGAGGAAGTGGTGTTGCATGACTGAGTGCCCAAGGCAGGACTCAATTCCAGATCTGATTTCAGAACTATGTGGTTTTTTATTTTTTAATTTTTTTTTACTATGCGGTTTGTGGGATTTTAGTTTGAACCCTCATCCTCAGCAGTGAAAGCATGGAGTCCTAACCACTGGACTACCAGGGAATTCCCTGCCCATCCTTTTTAAAAAAGTATTATTATTAAAATATAGCTGATTTACAGTATTGTGTTAGTTTCTGGTGTTCAGCAGAGCGATATATACCCTTTTTCAGATTCTTTTCCATTATAGGTCATTCAAGATACTGAATATAGTTCAATACAGTAAGCCCTTGTGGTTTATTTGTTTCCTATATAGTAGTATATCTGCTAATCCTAAACTCTTAATTCATCTCTCCTCTATTCCCTTCGGTAATCATGTTTGTTTCTATGCCTGTGTCTGTTTCTGTTTTGTATGTAGATTAATTTGCTCATTTTTTAGATTCCACCTGTGAGTGTTCTTTGATTTACTGCACTTGGTATGATAATTTCTAGGTCCCCCCATGTTGCTGCAAGTGGTATTATTTCATTCTTTTTTATGGCTCAGTAGTATTCCACTGTGTATATATGTACCACATCTTCTTTATCCACTCTGTTAATAGACACTTCTGTGTCTTGGCTACTGTAAACAGAGCTGCTATGAATATTGCATGTCTCCTTTTGAACTCGACTTTTCTCTGAATACATGCCCAGGAGTGGGATTGTTGGATCATATGTTAACTCCAGCTTTTTGAGGAACCTCCATACTGTTCTCCATAGTGGTTACACCAATTTACATTCCCACCAACAGCATAGGAGGGTTCAGCGCCTGCATTTTCAAACAGTTCAACTGCTTTCAAGTACCCTGCTGCTTCCAAAACGGGGGACTTGACGAAGATGAGGACTAAGAGTGGAGGAAGCAGCTTGAGGTGGAGATTTATATTGAGCTGGGGAGTGGGGCGGCTTGTCCTAGAACTCCGCAGGTCTGAAAGGGAGGAAGGGGAGGAAGGAAAGAGGGGCATCAGGCAGACTGGTGAGCCAGCCCTCCCCTGTCCACGGCCCGCTCCCAGCGGCCCCTTCCAGGCCTCTGCCTGCCAGGCACCGAGAGGGCCGGGAGCAGATAAACAAGCCATTCATCGCCGGCTCTGGGCAGGCTGGCACTGACTCCAGGCTCTTCTCGAGTCCCAGGGAGGCGGGGGCCCTGCCGGCGGCCAGGATGTACGGCTTTCTTCAGGGTGGGGACAGGGGCTAGCGACATGGACCAGAGAGGCTGCGGAACCCAAGGGCTGGAGCCTTGGCCACGTGTCCCAGGGGAGCCCTCCACATGCCCTCACGCAGCAAAGCCACGCCATCACTGTCACCGGCATCATCTCCAAGGCTGTTTATGGAAGTTGCAGGCCTGGAACTCAGGTTGCATTGGTCCTCTTCCTCATCCTTGTCAGCCCGTGAGGCAAACACACTTGCTGCTATTGTTCAGTCTGACTCGTGTCTGACTCTGTGACCCCCTGGACTGTAGCCCACCAGGCTCCTCTGTCCCTGGGACTTCCCAGACAAGGATACTGGAGTGAGTTGCCATTTCCTTCTCCAGGGGATCTTCCCAACCCAGGGATCGAACCCAAGTCTCTTGCATTGGCAAGCAGATTCTTTACCATTGAGCCACCCAGGTTACACTTCCATTTTACAGGTGGGAAATGGAGCCACCGTGAAGCAAGAGTGAGCTGGGTTCAGGTCACGGCTGTGCCACTAGCCTCTGGATTATAGGAAGTGCAGAGGTGGGATTCGAACTCAGGTCCTGAATCGAAGCTTGTTGCAACCCAGTAATGGCTTGTCTGTCTCTTTTTCCTCCCTGCCCTTCTCTCCTTTCTCTCCTCCCCTCCTTCCTTCCGTCTACTTGTATCTTTGCACAAACATTTATTAGGCACCAGCTGTGTGCCAGGCTCTGCGCTAGGCCCCGGGGACAAAATGGTGATGACACTGAACCTGGCCCCCATCCTCGCAAGATTTCACCCAGTCCGCGACCTCGCGAGATCTCACCCAGCCCTTTGCAGCCCCTTGCATGCCCAGAGCTACCCTCTGCACTGCGCCGGAGGGCTTCACCTCCGAGGACAGAACCACCCTGTGGGAGGCCAGGGTTAACAGGAGTCTATGCAAAGCAGGCACTCTAACAACGGCCCTGTTTGCAAGAACACCCTGCCCTCGCAGCTGCCAACTGGCCCAAGAACAGGAAATTCAGCAAGCAGAGATGGCTGCTCACCCCTTTCCTTCTGGCCACTTACATAACTTGCCAGAGCAGATGAGGAAATTTTCCGAGCCCCGATGCTAGGTAAAGATGGGCCAGCAAGCCCACAGCAGGGTGGGGGCTCTGACTGTCTTCACTGCATTGGGTTTCTTAGGCTGGCTCCTCTGTGTGCATCCACCGGTGGGGCTACGTTATTTTTTTTCCCCACATTATTCCTTATGACATGTGTGCATCTGAAACATTTCATAATGAAAGAAAAAGAGGAAAATGGAACAAGATTTACAGCATAAAACCGTACATGTATGTTAAATATGGATACATGCTGATGTGGAAAATAATACCAAATTATAGGAAGTGCAGAGGTGGGATTCGAACTCAGGTCCTGAATCGAAGCTTGTTGCAACCCAGTAATGGCTTGTCTGTCTCTTTTTCCTCCCTGCCCTTCTCTCCTTTCTCTCCTCCCCTCCTTCCTTCCGTCTACTTGTATCTTTGCACAAACATTTATTAGGCACCAGCTGTGTGCCAGGCTCTGCGCTAGGCCCCGGGGACAAAATGGTGATGACACTGAACCTGGCCCCCATCCTCGCGAGATTTCACCCAGTCTGCGATCTCGCGAGATCTCACCCAGCCCTTTGCAGCCCCTTGCATGCCCAGAGCTACCCTCTGCACTGCGCCGGAGGGCTTCACCTCCGAGGACAGAACCACCCTGTGGGAGGCCAGGGTTAACAGGAGTCTATGCAAAGCAGGCACTCTAACAACGGCCCTGTTTGCAAGAACACCCTGCCCTCGCAGCTGCCAACTGGCCCAAGAACAGGAAATTCAGCAAGCAGAGATGGCTGCTCACCCCTTTCCTTCTGGCCACTTACATAACTTGCCAGAGCAGATGAGGAAATTTTCCGAGCCCCGATGCTAGGTAAAGATGGGCCAGCAAGCCCACAGCAGGGTGGGGGCTCTGACTGTCTTCACTGCATTGGGTTTCTTAGGCTGGCTCCTCTGTGTGCATCCACCGGTGGGGCTACGTTATTTTTTTTCCCCACATTATTCCTTATGACATGTGTGCATCTGAAACATTTCATAATGAAAGAAAAAGAGGAAAATGGAACAAGATTTACAGCATAAAACCGTACATGTATGTTAAATATGGATACATGCTGATGTGGAAAATAATACCAATTATTTTGCCAGGATGCAGGCCTATTTGCTGAAGAATAACAAACATCACAGTGACAGAGAATGAGAGAGATGGAGAGAGAAACCAGGGAAGGACTCTGCACTGGCTAAAGATGACAATGACTGTCTAATTACAAATTTTAATTGTGGGCAAAAATTCCCTGGGAAATAGTTGCCCTTCGATCAACTGTAAAGATGTGAGAACTGCATTGCCCTGTTCAAATCCCAGCTCTACTTCTCATTAGCTCCATGATCTTGGGCAAATAACTTCTCTGAGGCTCAGTTTTCACATCTATAAAATGGGGATAATAATCAGGCCTATGTCACAGTTTTGCTAAAAATATTAATCGAGTTCGTTATAGAATGTGATCAGACCCACTAGGTCTGACCTTATCCCTCTCTTTTTTTCATTAAGCATTTATTTATTTATTTTTTACTTTTTGGCTATTCTGAGCAGCATGCAGGATCTTAGTTCCCCAATCAGGGATCGAACCCAAGCCCCCTGCAGTGGAAGCACAGAGTCTTAACCTCTGGACAACCAGGGAAGTCCCAACCCACCCTTCTTGTAAAACCATTAAAAGAAAAAAAAAAAAAAAACAAGTATGGACTCTGTGGTCATGCAGATCCTGGCCCTTACATGTATGAATCTCATTTTAAGCACATCGCACCTCTAAGCAGCTCTGGTTAACCCCATAGAAACCCAGGCTGGGGCCCCAAGGTCACGCCACTGGTAAATGACTGAACTGGGGCTTCCAACCCAGGCTTGATCTGCCAGTTCTCAACTACCGCTCGGCACATGGGTCCTTAGCAGGGAAAATTCCAGAGGTGACCACACGGGCCCACACAGGCTGCCCCTCCTGGGGCCGGCAACCCCTCACACCCTTTCCTTCCACCCTCCTGTGAAGGTAACTGCCCCCTCTCCAACCACAAGCCTGGCCTTTGGCTCAAATTCAAGATGCTGATGGTAGAGGCAGCCCCGTCAGAGGGAAGGGATCAGTACTGAGGCTGAGTGGAGCTGTCAGAGCCTAAAACAGCGGAAGAGAGGACGGAAGGAGGACCACTTCTGGCCTGCTCAGAAACATGCGGTTTACTAGGCCATGCTGTTTACTAGGAACAGGTCTCTTGAAAGAGACCAGAGGACAGATTCTGGGGGTCTCTGGGCTGAAGCAGAGGCTGAGACTGTCCCCTGCCTGTTAGAAAGAGCCACCTCCCTGGTCATTAGCAAGAAAACCATGGGCACGATAAGGCCTGACAGCTTTCCACGAAGATTCCCTGGGGGGTTAACAGGTGTGAGTGCAAGGGACCCTGGTGTGAAGCTTCTTCTCCAGCCCCTTCCCCACTTCAGTGATGACCTTGTCTCATGACTGTTATAGAGAACAGATGTTAAAAGGGCACCTTCTGAGCCCAGACCTATCCATCCAAGTGCCAGCATGGAATCTCTCATGGAGTCTCAGTCATCATCTCAAAGGTAACTTGTCCAACACAGAGATCATGATCTTCAAGGGCTTCCAGTGCATTCCATCTCCCTAAACGGCAACTTCATCCACTCTGCTGCTCAGGCCAGAAGTCTGAGAGTCATCCTCAAATCTTGCATTCATTTAATTTTTTACTCATTGATTCTTGCGTTTGTTCACTCATCCAGTGGCCTGCGAGCACATCTTACATGCCAGGTACTGTCTAAGCACCAAAGATGCTAGGCCTGGCAAATATACCAAAAAAGACATTATAGTGTCTCTTGTTCAACTCCCAGAATCTCAGTCTCCCAGAATTGACCTCTGACTCCATTCTGTTGTATGTCGGAGCCGGACTCCATCTATTTCCTCTCACTTTACTTCTCTTGCTTTCATTCAAGCCACCATCACTGGTGTCTAGTGCAGAGGAAGAATCTCCCACCTTGTCTCCCCAGTGCCACTCTTGCTTCCTTGGAAGACACTCCCCTCACATGGAAGCCAGAGAGATCTTTGAACATAAATCAGATGGGTTCCTTTTCTTGCTCAAAGCATCTCAGCCCCTGCTGACTTGCTCTGCCAGCCCCATCTCACCCTGGTCTTCTTTCTAGCCCATGGATGCTACTTCTGCCTCAGGGTCTTTGCCATTCTGTTCCCCACCCCCGGCATGCTCTTCCCTACACTCTTGGCTTGGCAAACTCCTGCTCATCCTTCAGACGGCACCCCACTGTCACAGCCCCAGATGAGTCTTCTCTTGGCTTCAGTCTAAGCTGGATGATTTGCCGTCATAACAAACATGACTTCCCATCACTGTTGAATCGAGCAGGACATTTCGTTTGTATGATTCTCTCATTACCACTCGTTCCCACTGCACTGTAAGCTCCACAAAGGCAGGGACGCTGTCTGTCTCGCTCACATTGTGTCCTCTGAGCAGGCACTCAATGCGTGCTAAGTCGCTTCAGTCATACCTGACTCTTTGTGACCCTGTAGACTAGAGCCCAGCAGGCTCCTCTGTCCATGGGATTCTCCAGGCAAGAATACTGGAGTGGGCTGCCATGCCCTCCTCCAGGGTAATCTTCCCCACCCAGGGGTCGAACCCAGGTCTCTTATGTCTCTTGCATCGGCAGGTGGGTTCTGTACCACTAGCGCCACCTGTGAAGTCTCCATGCACTGGGTAGACTTGTATAACAAACAAATGGGGGATTTTCTGAGCCTTTGCTATATACTGGCAATTGTGACCCAGCTTGGGACTGTCCTGGCGGTTCAGTGGTTGACCGCACGCTTCCAATACAAGGGTCACAGATTCAATCCCTGGTCAAGGAATTCGGGGACACACACACACACACACACACACACACAATTGTGACACCTCCGCCCCCCACTGACCACCTCCCAAAGTCATATCCTCAAGACGTCCAGTGAAGGAGAGCATCTCTCCCCCCGGCTCCCCAGAATCGTCATGAAGACACCTTTTGAAAACCAGACTTGGTGGATAAGCTCGCGGCTGTCGGAGCTGAGTCTTAGCTTCGCCAGCTCACTATCTGTGCAGCCTTGGGCGCGATTCTTTCTGAATCTGTCTCCTCTGTGAGTTAGGGTGGCTGGGCCAGTCACTCCGGTCCACCATGCAAAGCTCTCCGCACGTGCCTGCCATGTACAAGTGACTCCTATTTGCTTGCAGTTAACAGCAGCCGCATGGAAGTCAAAGGCAGTGCCCCCTCCACCCCTTCACCCCCCCACCCCACCCCTGCAGGGTTTCGCTGTTTATGTAGGTATTTTTGCACCTGCTTATCTCCTGGGGCCTCGTGAGTCCACCACACCTGTGGGCTGGGCTGCGCTGAGGTTCACACTGTTAGTTGACAGATAAGGAGAAATGCTCACCCCAGGGGCCTGAAGCCGGGTAAGTGGAGGATCTGGGATCCCAGCACGGCCTGGGGCTCCGGCTGCATCTGCCGGTGTGCGTGGGCCAGGACCAGCCCCCTCCCGGGAGAGGAGCTCTGCGCCCCCCACCCCGTCCTTCGCCAGCGCTGCCTCCAGTCCCCGGAGTAGCTGCCCGCCGTCTGCAGAACGGGTATCAGTTTGGGGGCTGCAGGAGTGCTGGACGGAGTCTTACCTGACTCTGGATGCAGGGCCCACCTGCCCTGGGTCCCGACGGCGGCGTCTGAGGCGGAGGGAGACAGAGCTGGCCGTGAGGAGGGCGAACCTTCTGGCTCCTTTTCCCTCGCAGCCAGAGTTTGAAAGGACAGCGGTGGCCTTCCCTCCAGCCCCGCCTGCTGAGAGAGGCTCCTCGAAGGTCAAACTCCAAATTCCAGCCTGGGCTTACTGCAGGGGTTAGAGGAAGCGTCAGTGATCTCCCCCAGGGCAGTAGGAGAGGTCCCGGGCCAGCCCCAACCCTGAACTTGAACTTGAACTCTGAGCAGGCCTGACCTGAGCCCCGCCCACATGGCCCCACCTCCTCACCTGGTGGGGGGCCCATGGCAACGAAGGGGCTGGCAGTGGCTGCCGCCGGCCCGGGGCGCGTCCTGCCCCGCTCGCCCACTCGGCCACTGGCCCGCCTCCGCGCTGGGGACAGGCGGGCTTGGGACGAGCTGGGGGCGGGGGCGGGGAGAGGCTGGCAGGGGACGCAGGGGACAGAGGGGCAGTCCCAGGAGGGCACACGGGGCGGCCCCACCGCTGGGACAGCACCAGTAACAGTGACCACCTTTGTTCGGTTCCTTTGCCCTGCGCTCTCCAGACGGAGGCAGGACAAAGGCAGGCGCCTGGAGCCCAGAGTTGTCAGGAGTGACTGAGCCCGTGGCCGGGGGCCCACAAGACCAGGATAGACAGTGGGGGAACGCGGAAGGCTTGCACTGGATGCTCAGAGCATTAAAAAAAAAAAATTTTTTTTTAAAGGAAAAGGATAGTTACTAGCGTTTGCAAAACAAGGGATTGAATACGACTCTAGATTTCCCAGTTTACTAGAACAATCTGAAGATCTGGCCATACCACTCGGCTGCAGGACAGCTAGAGCAGAGTGCTGGCCGCCCCTCTCCCCTCCACCACAGAGGCCACCTCTAGCCCCCTTCCCTCCACCCGGACCCTGGGCAGGGGCAGCCCCTGGCTCAGAGCCGTTCAGAAAGCATGGTGAGAATCAGTATGTTCCAGGCTCCATTCTAAAAACTTCCACGTCTCTGCTCACTTGGTCTTTCCAACAAGCCTTCTGGACTGATAGCATTATGTCCATTTTACTGATGAGAAGACAGAGGTAGAGATGGGTGAGTGGCTTGCCCAGGTCACCAGCTGTGAGTGGCAGAACCGGGATTTGAACCCAGAGTGTTTCCTTCCAGAGCACGGCAGGGACTGTGGAGGTGGCTTAGAAACAACCTCAGTGGACGGAGGCGGCCTGGATGCACAGACACTCAGCAACTGGACTGACATCAGCATGAACAGGGGGCCTGCCTAGGGGGAAAGATGGACAGAAGGAATAGCTGGTGTTGGAGAAGGGGGACTGGTGGACAGACAGCTGGGGGATGGACAACCTGAGCCTGTGACTGAGGACTCAACTCCAGAAAGGCAGAACGGGCTCCATCAACCCGAGGTCCAGTCCTGACTTCTTAGGGGCATGTCTGGGGGATCACAGGCACGTTCCTTGGTTGCAGTGCTGCAAACAGCGCACGAATGAGCAAGAGAAGCCAGCCGGCACTGCGGTGGAGGGAGAGCTATGTCCCAGCCACGACTCAGCTCCAACTGCGGGAACACAGGCCGAATGGGGCCAGACCTTCCAATCGTTCTGGAAAAATGAGAAGTCCGGAATTTTAGCCTCATGATTATTTATCTATGAGGGCTGATGGCGGCCTGATGGTCCCTAGAACGTCGCTTCCTACAGTTTCTCTCATTGTCCAGCTTCTTTGGCTCTCGTTGGATACTGTAGAGAATAGAAGATGGGGCTTCCCTGGTGGTTCATTGGCTGAGACGGTGCTGTCAATGATAGGGACAGCGTAAAGGGACAACGTAAGATTCAATAGTTAATTCCACCAGGGGAGTGTAAGTAGAAAAAATCTGAGAGACCCCTGTAAGTTAATGATCACTCAAGAGGGCAGGTTTGCTCAACCGCATAACCAAGCTGACTTGCTTAGCAACAAAACCACGTAGCAGGAGCATGAGACATGTCCCCCCACCCCCACAAATAAACCGCATGGTGGCGTGAGGTCCAAATACTGCTCAATAAGCTCAGTAAGTTAATGACCCCCTGGGTGGTTAACCTCTCTGCACACGTGAAAACAGTAATTTGAGCATGTACATTATTGTTTAGTCACTCAATTGTGGCTGACTCTTTGCAATCCCATGGACTGTATCACCCACCAGGCTCCTCTGTCCATGGGGTTTTCCACGCAAGAATACTGGAATGGGTTACTCTTTCCTCTCCAGGGATCTTCCTGACCCAGGGATCAAACCCGTATCTCCTCAGTCTCCTGCCCTTGTAGGTAGACTCTTCACCACTGAACTACCACAATAATTTGTAGAACCAGCTTGACCAACTCAGGTTGACCAACTCCAACCTGAAGGAGGAGTTGATGATGGAAGCATGACGTTTGCTCAAAAAAGACAAACAAGTTCTTCTGCCACCTCCCACTTTCTGTTTGATTATGAAACTGTAGCCTCAGTTCTCAGGGAGCAGCATTTCTCAGTCGCCCACTTGTAACCTTCACAAGCATCCTATTCTGATAAATCACTTATCTATCACTTTGCCTCTCACTCAATTCTTTTCTGCACTGAGACATAAAGAACTATGGTACCGGAGTTCTTAGGAGCCCCCGTGAAATGACACCAAACTATTTCACCAACTCAGGGGGGGCCTGGTTTGATCGCTGGTCTGGGAACTGGATCCCACATGCCCCAACTAAGACCTTGCACAGCCAAATAAATATTTTTTTAAAAAAGAATAGGAGAGAAGGTGGTACAACCACTTTGGGGAATCTTTTGGAACTTTCTTATGAAGTTAGCATATTCCTAGCCTCTTGCCCAATTGCTCTGTCATGTCCAACTCTATGCGACCCCATGGATTGCAGCCTGCCAGGCTCCTCTGTCCATGGGATTCTTCAGGCAAGAATACTGGAGTGGATTGCCATTTACTTCTCCAATCTCTACCCTTGTCTAGTTCATTCCACCACTTTTTTTTTTTTTCATTTCACCACTTTTATCACTGAGTAATTTGCTTGAAGGGAAACCATGATATATTTTTAAATTGCCCTGGCACTGAGCTATACTGAGCCCAGTACCCCCAGACTGACATATTAATTGGTCCCAGATGAAAAGGGGAACCCATTGCTCTTACATGGGTCTTTCCTTCCTGCAGGCCTAATGCAGGTCACATGTGGAGTGGTTTCCCATCTCTGAGGACTACTCTCTGCAGATAGTGGCCTGCATGTCACACTGAGTCTCCTGAGCTGGACAGTCTCTCTCCAGAGAACTGACGGGTGAGGGGGGTGGGGATGGGTGACTGAAAGTAGCGCAAGTGTTAGTTGCTCAGTCTTGTCTTATTCTTTGCAACCCCATGGACAGTAGCCCGCCAGGCTCCACTGTCCCTGGAATTCTCCAGGCAAGAATACTGGAGTAGGTTGTCATTCTCTTCTCCAGGGGATCCTCCCGACCCAGGGATCAAACCCATGTCTCCTGCATTGCAGGCAGATTTTTTTTTTTTAAACCATCTGAGCCACCAGGGAAGCCTGTAATCCAGCAATTCCACTCTTAGTTGTTTATCAGGAGAAATGAAAGCTAAGTTCCACAAAGACTTTACACAAATGTTCAGAACAGCCTTGCTCACAATAGCCTCAAAGGGGAAACACAGTGTCGATCAACAGAAACATGGACAGACTGTGATGCTTTCACGCTGTAAGCAGAGAGGGTAGGGTTCACCGGAGAGAGAGAACCAGGTGTGGCTTTCCTGACAGAAGAAAACCCTTTTTGGTCTAAGCCATTTACGCTCTAAGCCTGGCTGTAATGCTCACCCTTGAATAGGTCTAAGTAATTGATGATTTTATGGGAACAAAGGGAGATGGTGAAGGACAGGGAAGCCTGGCATCCATAGGATCCCAGAATTGGACAAGACTTAGGGACCGAACAACAACAACAAAGGAACAAAGAAGTGAACAGGGAAATGGCAATCAAACAATGGTGCAGTGATGAGGCAGGGCCCTGGTTCCTCCTCCAGGGATACACATAACAATATAACTGTGAGTTCTGCAGACACTAAGGCTCCCACCCAGGTGGAGAATGGAAGGATGTTGTTGACCCTCCTGACTTCATCAACTAATAAAGCTTGGACCCTGTCACCCTTTGCCCCAATTCTATGCTGAATTCTCCTCTGCTTAAGTCCCTTCATGAATATACATGTGCCTGTAGCTTAAAATTTTCCCCAATTTTGCTATTCTGGGAAACACTGCTTTGGGAAAGATCCTGATGTTCTCCCCACTTGCTGCAAGTAATAATAAATCCTTCCTTTTCTTTTTCTTTGGCTTGGTTACTGGCTCGACACCCACCAAGAGGCAAGCTCAGTTTTCAGGTAACAATACTCTGTGGAGAAACACATTTGTTTTTAGTAGGACAAACTAATGACATAAAGCTATGTGTGAATCTCAGAAATGTGCCAGGCACAAACACACCTTATGATTCCATTTATGTGAAGTTCAAGAACAGGAAAGATGAATCTATGGTGATAAAGTCAAGAGATCCAAGTACTTTCTGGGGAGAAGAAAATTTTTGTATCTTAAGTGGTAACTATATGGGTATATACCACTGTTCAAATCCATTGGACTGAATAAGATTTGTGCATTTCATCGTATGCAAATTACACCTAAAAAAGAAAAAACAGGGTAGAAGGTGCAAATGGTGCATTTGGCAAATCAGCTCTTGCTTCTCTGATGGTCTTTACTCAGATCTTACCTCCCAGGGCTTACTGCAGTTCATTGTCTCCATGTAAGAAGGTGGGTCCCGTGTCATCAAGGTGCCTGACTTTGCAAGAGAAATCCCAAAGTCTCCATTTTTATATGGACTCTCCTGTTTTATAAGGTTGAAGTGAGTAGTTTCAAATTAACAAAACCAGTTACAACTACTGTACAGTCATCCTTCTGTATCTGTAGTTTCTGCATCCTAGAATTCAATCACATACAGACCAAAAACATTCAGGGACAAAAAATCCGAAAAGTTCCAAAAACCAAAATTTGAACTTGTCACATGCTGGCAACTATTTACAAAACATTTACATCGTATTAAGCAGTAGAAGTAATCTAAAGATCATTTAAAGTATACAGGAGGAAGTGGTACATGTAGTTTATACAAAAATACTATGCCTTTTTATATAAGGAGCGTGAGCATCCTCCAATTTTGGTATCCACGAATCCTGGAACAAACCACCTGTAGATACAGACGGACCACTGTGGGTATCAAGTGATGCATGTATGGTGTTAAGTTGGTAACCCTGTGTGATATTGTGGTTCATACTAAGAAACATATGTTTGGCCTTCACCTCTGTTTCTGGTTTCCCTGGTG